AAGAAAAAAAACCCAAAGAGAAAAGAATGCCTTGCAAGGGACTGATAAACATCAAATTCAACAAGATAGTTACCCCTAGGGGGAGCAAGAGGGGAGAGATCAGGGAGTGGGGCTCCTATTTTATTTGTAGCATTTTAGTTCTTTAAAACATTTGAAATAAATGTGACAAACTATTGAGATGGACAGAGCTGGTAGTTGGGCCAGAGAGATTCAGTATATTATAGTCTACGATTTCCAGTACCTTTGAGATATTGCGTTAAAAAAGCAATCAAAGGATAATCGGTTGGGGTGGGGAAATCAGTATGTCCTTTTGGGTGGCAGGCGGCTGGGTAGGGACAATGGCTGTGTCTGGGATCGGGTGGAGGAGGTGTGGGCAGGCAGACCCAGGCTCCTGAAGCTGTCGGGGGGCATGAAAGGAGGTCCAAGGAGTAAAATCAAGGTACTATCAGAGCTAAAAGCTGGCATCAGGGTTTGTTTCTATGTTCAAGGAAGTGAAAGCACAGAAGAGAGCGCTGACGGTGTGTGTGCAGAGGGTGTGTGCCTGTGAGTCCCATAGGACGTGGCAGGTCCGGGTAGGGGCCCAGCTGGGGTGGCAGGCTCTCCTTTGCCCAGCTGGTCACCAGTCTTGAGGGAGTCTTGCACCCAGCTGGCCTGACTCCCAGCAGGGGCCCCTTGCTTTTCACCAGCCTGTGCTTCCTTTTCCCCTGCACATCCGGAGCTACTTCCCCACCCCCTGCCTGGGAGCTCTGTGGCCTGGGCCCCAGAGAACCTCAGACTCTCAGGGAGGGGTGGGGTATTAGACTTTCCACATTCTTAAAGGGACACGTGTTGGGGTAGACAGTGTGACTGAGAGACTAAAGGAAGTGTGTTTGTCCTGGTCCCCAAATGCCTACCCATAGGAAAAGCCAGGCTGAGGGCTCAGAGTTAAGGGAGGGGCTCCACCCCCAAGGGTCTGCTTCTGATGGTCCAGCTGGGGACAATGAGGCGAGGGAGAAAAAGTTTTTTGAGCCTGTGATGACCTTACCAGCTCTGGGGTTTAGAGTTTGGAGGTTTGCTATCTTCCTGACCCCCCCGCCATAACCCTACACTTAGCAGGGGGGAGACAGAGAGAGGTAGGGGTCATGACCTCCAGCTTTAGGTGGAAGAACTCTGGGACCCTGAAAGAGGTAGAGGTTGGCATGGCATCTCCTCAATCTGTCCAGGAATCCACACTGGGCACTGCCTCCCTTCCAGGCCCTGGAATTTTATCCTGAGACCTGGGGGGATATTATGGATGAGGTATCCCCCTTGCCAAGTTTCTGGGGTTCCTGTCTCCTCTTCCTCTTTCCCTTACCCCCACCCCACCTCTGCCTTCTTGGTGCATAATGGGCACCTAAGATGCTGAACACGATGACTCCCTTTTCCCTGGACTTTAAGAAGCAGTTGATCACTGCCCATTGCCCACGATATGGGACAGCAGCCCATAGTGTGCTAAGATTCCTGGCCAGGACGCAGGCCCTATTTAGGAATTAGGAGATCTGGGAAGAGAGGGAAGTGAGAGGGGACTTGCAGGACCAAACTCTATACGCCAGACTGTAATGAGGCCCCTGTTTGTCCCTTTCTGAACAACTTTGTCTCTGTCTCTGTCTCTCTGTATCTCTCTTCACTGCTTTCTTTTTAACTCTTTTTCTTTTTTTCTTGTATCTTTCTTTCTCCCCATGTTCCCCTCTGTCTGTCCTCTTCTTCGTTTATTCTCTGTTGCTATGTGTATTTATCTCTATGTTTCTGTCTCTCCATGTCTTTATCTCTTTCTTTGTGTCTATTCCTCTTTCTCTCCCCCTGAGGTTCTCTGTCTTTCTCTTTCAGTTCCCTTTGGTTGCCTGTCTCTCATTATTTTGGTCTTTTCCTGTGTGTACATGCCCATGTCACCTCTCTCTGCCCTCCCCTCCTAGGCTGACCGCTATCCCTGGCTTTCTCCAGCTGTGAACGGCTCAGCGGGGCAGGAGACGCAGAGGCAGCTTCCAGAGGTGCTGAGTGGGGCCCGGGAACCACCTCGAGAGGATGGGCTGCCTCTGCTCACTGTGATCATCGCTATCTTTGTCCTGCTGGCAGTCTGTATCGTGGTGGCAGTCCACTGTGGCCCAAGTCTACACCAGGGCCGTGCCACTCTCCCCACAGAGCCACCAGCCCCAAAGCCAGAGGGTGGCATCTACCTCATCCACTGGCGAGTGCTGGGCTCCCAGGACATTCATGGAGACACCCAGCAGGGCCCTCCTGTCTCTGGCTCCTGCCTTGTGCCAGATGGGCCTAGACTCAGCATCGACGAAGTCACATATCTGTAGGAGGAAGACTTTGGAAAGTAGGCCAGACTTGGCTCAGAACAAGAAACTGGACAGAGAATTAGGGCAAAGGCAAACTGGGGCCTGGGTGTCAGATCTTTGGAAGTGCACACATGGACTAAGCTGGAGCTGCCCTCTGGGCAGAATACAGAGAAAGCCTTGATGGGGAAATAAAGAAGCTTGAGGGCCCTGCCCAGACACGTGGTGCTATGAGCATTCCAAGTGCCCAAGGCTGCCCTTACAAAGCTACTCCATCTTCTTCAGGGACCACCAGACCCCTGAACCTCCTTCTCCAAGTCCCTCCCCTTCTCCCACCCCTAATCTCCTCTCCTTTGGGTGTCAAGGTAAGTCTGGCTTGGAAGATTCCACCACCCGCCCCATCCCTGTGCAGGGATGGAAGAGGCTCCTGCAGAGGCTCTGCTGCTCCAGCCCCCAGGTCCTGTGAGGGCCAGCCCAGCAGTACAAGGCAAGGAACCCAGGGCTCTGCCTTCTCTGGGACTTGGGGAAAGGAAGGAAAAGCTGTTGCCCTTCACTGACTGAGGGACATCCCTTTGGCTGTCAGGGCCCAGGACTTGTTAACAACTTTCAAGGCCCTTATAAAGCCCCAAGCACCAATTATAGCTCCCCAATTTGTTTTTGAATGCCCTCCACTATCTTGGGGCAAGACTCTGTCTTGCCTTCCCATGATGCAATGGGGAAAATTTGGGAGTTCTCATTACCTCCTACTTTCTGTGTGCATGGGCCTGTTGAAACCAGCCTAGAATTTACCCCAGGAAATTCTAGGGGTAAATTCCACTGGCGAGTGGAATTTTCCCAAGTGCAGCTGGTAGGAAAACAGGATAGGAAAGGGAGCTTCATGGAGCTTTTATAGAGTCAGAAATGAGTGAGGAGAAGGCCTACAGGGAGAGAGTCATGGAGGTTGGGAAGATGCAAGAGGCCAAGAAGGCAGAACTGAGCCTCCCAGGGGCTCCTTGGAAAGGTACCTCTTTCTCTGGCACCTCTGAGCTTCATTTATGTGCAGTCAGGAAGGGGCAGACAGACATTTATGGAGGAACCTCTGGGTGCTTTACCCTGGAGAACAAGTCAACTCTGGGATTGCCCACAGTGAGACCCCAGCACAGTCAGTAAGGCTGGGAAAGAACAGAAGATAGAGGAACAGAGGTGGAGATTATGTGTACAGAGGACTGGCTTGCCACCTTTGGGCTAATGAGAGGCAGTTATAATGTTAGTAGCTACTCTTTCTTGAAGGCCAGCTATGTGCTTGGCACTGGCTTCCTCCATGGGCCTGCAGATATACCATTCACTCCTCATAACAACCTTGAGAAGAGAGCCATTGTTACTCCCATTTTACAGTTGGGAATATTAAGACATCCAGGTGGACACATGTACTAAGTGGTGGGTCCGGATTTGAACCTGAGGCAGTCTGCACGATGTTGGGGGCTGGAGGGTGGGGAAAGTCATGTTGGGGAGGCCTTTGATTCTGGTCTGGTTTCTAGGTATAGGTGTGATGTTGGAAGATCTTCAGGCCTTGAGGACAGAGTGGCTGGGACAGCTGGGGAGAGGAAGGGACTGTTTCTCCTCACTCTTTTGGCTCTGCCATCCTTAGAGGCAGTCAGTTTCTTCTGGCAAATGTGTGTCTATGTGTGGAGCCTTTCTCCACAGCATGCTGTCCTCAGATATGCATATTGAACAGTTGCAACAAAAACAAAGGTAGGAGGGAGGAAGAAACAATTTCTGGGTGGAATGAATGGAACTGGTAGAAATGGGCCATCTCCCCTCCCAGATGGGGGCACTTTTGCCACCACGATGTTGTTGCAGTGGCTCAGTTCTAACAGCAATAGCAAAAGGTGTGGCAGGTGACTGGCTGTGTTGTGCAAGGTCCCCCATAGAATGTCCCCCCGCCTCACACAAATCCTCTCCCCACTTTATCCCTCATGCAGGCTCTCTCATCAGGGGATGTTTATTCGGTGGCCCCTACTTCTTTGAGCAACCCCTTGCCCAGGGCACAGCTCATGGTATCTGTGTGCTCCCTCAGGCAGCCCCTGGCCCCTCCCTACCCCCCAAACCTCCCACTGGAGACAAGGGCACTGAAAGGGTAGGTGGAGTGGGGGTGCTGCCCAACTCTCTGCCCTCAGCCTGCCTGTGGGTTCTGTCCACATTGAAATGATACCCACCACCCCACTGCCATGGATGAGGAGGGGTGTAAGGAAGCACGTCTGTGCAAGCCGGTTTGGACATTGCAGATAATAAGTGCCAATAGTTTGTATTAATCGAGTCTAGTCGGAGAAAGATGCACACTGAAGTGTGTAATCTGAGGAGTGTTTAAAAGGGGGACCATTTAGAAAAGGCAGGTGTAAGGAAACCAAAAGCAGAGAGTGAGTACTACAGGATGAGCAACAGTAGGGAGCCGATACCGCTGCTAGGCCTGAAGGGGCAAGGAGAGGAAGCAGTTCATGGGACCTGGACAGGGACAGGGTTCCTGAGCTAGTTTGGTCAAGAGATACGGTGAGTTCACAGTGACCTTGACACCGCAGGGGAGTGCTAGGGAAATAAATACTTTAACCTCATTCACCTCCATTCTCCCATTGACCAAACAAACAGAAGCCTAGAGGCAAGGGAGCCTGTTGATGCTATCCCAGGGCAAAAGAAAGCAGAGAAGGGTGAAGAAGTAGGTCCAGAGGATCCAATGGAAGACACCTGGCACATTCCTTAAGTTTACCTGGCAATTAGAGTTTACAAGAAACATCTATGCAGTCATTGTCCTCACAACAACCCTGTGAGGTAGGTAGGGCAATTATTATGATCCCATTTCATAGATGAGGACACTGAGGCTCATGTAAAACAACTTGCCCGAGGTCATAGGACTCATCTTGAGATGTCAAGTCCCCGTGACTTCTTTGAGAGGTCCCCCTGTGGGAAGAAACAGTTTTGCTGGGCATCTAGCCCCTAAAGAAAGCCCTCAGTCCGGAGTCTTGGGGATCGCTGGGGCATCAGGCAAGGTGACCGTGGCCCTCAGAAGATATCCGTGCGGAGTGGGAGAGGCTTATCCATTTCACTGATGAGGAGCTGAGGCTCTTGGTTCAGTGTGGAAGAGTCAGGCACCACCGAAGTCCCCACACTACCCACAGTAACCTCCTCCTTTTCCTCCTGCTGCAGGTGCCTGAGAATCTCCTGTGACAGGGAGAAGCTGCTTTCCTCTTCCGGTTCTGGAATGGGGGTGGAGAAGGTGGTGGGGAGTGGAGTGAGAAACTCACACTTTCCCACTCCAACACACCCCAGGGGATTTGCTGGGCAGATCCTTCAACCCACCTCTCTATGCCCCCTGCCCATCCTAGCCATTGTGGGTAGAGCTTCGTGGAATCCTAGAGCTAGAAATGGCTTTAGAGATGGTGAAATTCCACCCTCTTGCTTTTAGAGATGGTGCTTCGAGAAGGGCAGAGACCTGCCCAAGATCATACAGCAAAGGAGTGGCAGAGCTGAGGTTTCAGCCCCTGTCAGTCTCTTAATTCCTGGCCTGGGGCCTAGGATATTTTGCTTCCTTTGACAGATGAAGTGAGGAGACCCTATAGCCCGCCTCTTCATGCTCCACCTAAGACCCATAGCCAAAGACTTCAGAGCAACCAAGTGTCCCAACCTGGGGAGGTGGACCTCTCTCATGGGAGGAAGGGGCAGGACTTGAATGCCCTGACCACTCGGGAAGGCCCAGGGCATGACGCTTTCATATCTCCTTCTGCCCCCCTGGGAGACCCCTGGGCCCCCTGACTCCTCCTGTCCTCCAGACTGTCAATCCCTTACCCTGGTAGACAATGAAGCGACAGTTGTTCTGACACTCAGGGGCATCTGCCAGGATGTCCTCAAGTGTCCGGCAGAAGAGTTTAGCCTGCTCAAGCCGATCTTGCCGACTGAAGCCAGCTCGGCTATCCTGTGACATGGCAAACAGGGTCTTCAAGGGGGTGGCATACTCCAGAACGCAGGTGCCCACCTGGAGAAAATGGGAGGAAGACCAAACTAAACCAGGGCAGACAGACTCTGGACCCCAGTACCACTGCAAGGACCCCACTCCCTCAGTCTGTATAGATGGAGTCCTGGCATGTGCCGCCCTAATGGGGTTATGCTGTCTGGTTGTCTTTTGCCTCTGGCATCCCACCCCTAAGATCAGGGCCAGGGCTGAGCTAAATTTACCCTTTATGATCCTCCTCCTAGGATCCCAGGGCAAGGCCCACCAAGCTAGGCTGTCAACTGCTCCAGTTTGAAATCAAGTCTGAAGGCTAGGCTCTGGGGTTCAACCGTGGTCTGGGTCTCCCCACCCACCCGTGTGAAATCCATCAGATCTTCTCACAACCTTCATCTAGGGCAGCTTTATGGTCAAAAGCATGGTGCCCTAGCCGGTTTGGCTCAGTGGATAGAGCATTGCTCCGAGCACTGAGAGGCCGTAGGTTCGATTCCAGTCAAGGGCATGTACCTCAGTTGTAGGCTCGATCCCTGGCCCTGGTTGGGGCATTAGGGAGACAACCAATCGATGTTGTCTGTCTGACTCTCCCCTTTCCTTTCACTCTCTTTAAAAAATCAATGGAAAATATACTCGGTTGAGGATTAACAACAACAACAACAACAAAAATAGGTGTTTTTTTAAAAAAAAGCATCGTATACTCAAGTTGAAATTGTCCACTTTCTCCCTGGTTCTCTGAGTCAATTTCGTCATCTGTAGAATACGGGTTGTAACAGTCCCTACCCCATAGGGTGGTGGTGAGGATTCATTGAGGTGGTTAGATAAGCATCTAGAATAGCATCTGGCATGCATAAGTGTTCAGTAAATGTTACTTATTATCCTCATTCAGCGTCGAATCTTGTCCAGCCCTGGGACTCACTGGGGAAACTGAGGCTCAGAGGAGGGCAGTAAATTTTTACCAGTGGTTGGCCAGAGCCCAGAGTTCTGGTGCACTAGGTCTGATCCTCTCCAGCAGGACCCACCTTCCTGCACACTCACCAGCTTCCCGTTCTCCAGAAGCTCATAGATGCTGTTTTTGTAAACCCGGGCCTTGATGCCAGCACGGTCAATGAGTTGCGGGGGCAGCTCATCCAGGAGGCGAATGTTGGGGTCAACCACACTCAGGTCATCAGGCACCCCACAGTCCAATGGGAAGAGGATGTATAGCCGATGGCTTGCTGCGCCTCGTAGGATATTGTTGTGGGACTGATTGTAACTCTGGATCCGGGTCGGAAGCCCTGAGGTAGAGAGGCCCAAGAAGTCATTCCCACTGACCTTGTCTCCCACTGCATCATTGGTCACCCTCAATGTGTACATGCAAAAGAACCGAGGGCCCAGTCCCCTAGTACTGGCCAGGAGGGACAGCACATCCAAGGACCCTTCCCTCCCCTCCATCTACTCCCACCACTGCTTTCTCCCTTCACTTGTTCTTTATCCAGATTTCTGTCAGCCCCACTCCTTCCCACCACAGCTCTCAGGCCTTTGAGAAGCAGGCAGAGGCCTGAAAGGTGACATTGTCAGCACCCGCAGCTGCACTGAGTCAGGCCTCTAGCATGAGCCATTTCCTAGCAGAAGCCCTGGTGTCAAGGGAAGGCAGCAACAAGATATGGGAGGACTCTAGACTTGGCTGGCCAGTCAGAAGAATGAGACATAACATATAGATTCACAGTAGTGTCAAAAGGGCAAGCCCTGGACAGACCTGGATTCATATCCCGTCTCCTCTCACTAAGCTGTGTGACTTGGGATAAGTCACTTTATCTCTCAGAACCACAATTTTCTTATCTTTTAAGCAGGAAGACGATTATCCCTTCCTCATAGGTTGTGAATTAAAAAAGAAAATGCACATGAAAGGCGCACAGCAGTAAATAGTTACTGAAAGAATTCAGAGGAAACCTTGGACACGTCACTTAATATTTCTTCCTCTAAACCAGGCATAACAATAGTCTTCATGCCTAGAGGATTGTTTTGGGAATCAAACGATTTGTTAGACGTGAAAGTACTTTGAAAAATATACCGAGTTGTGGAAACAATGTGTCTTATTGTTTGTGTGTCTTGTAGATCTAGAAATGGGACATAGAGGATGGCCCACCTGGTAGGACCAGCCGCAGGTACCCGATATAAAATGACCATGCCAGCCCATGGGCCACGTTGAAGTTCCTTTGTTCACAGACTGTGGAGATCTCAGCTGGGGCCAGGCCCTGTGGACAGAAGGGTGGGGCAGGGGAGACCTCCATGAAGGACAACTAGAACCCTCCTCTTCCAAGGAGATTTCTCAGCCTGCTGCTGCTTTCTCCCTTTTCTGCCATTGCTGACCCCGCTGTTCCAGGACATAAGTTCAACTCCAAGAACCAACCTCTAAACTAGTCCCACTCCTAGTACTGAACCCAGAGCAGGTCACACTAGCCACAGCCTCCACTTGACCATGCCCTCCACTTCCCACTGTGTCATACCTGGAGGTCCAGGATGATGCTCAGTGCCTCTGAGAGGCCCAGGAGGGGAAGCATCCAAATGAAGGGCGAGCCAGCTTCGTTTGGAAGAGGGTCATAGAAATACCAGGACAGCAGGACCAGGACCCCAAAGCAGATGGGGCTTCCCAGACAGGCCCTCACAGCCCTCCGGTAGCTTCCCTGGTACCTGCAGATGACAGCTCAGCTAGAGAGATTCAAAGAGGGGCAGGGATGGGGGTCAAGGGAGTGAGACATGTGTGCCCGATCACCACGGGTGCTGCATGGAGTCACCTGGAATGGACGTGGCATAGCTCCTCGACCAGACTGCAGACTCGCTTGAACAACAGTCCCAGCTGCAGGGAGGCCAGGTGGAGCAACAGACACTGGAGAATGTGTTTTGGCGACTCCCCCAAGACCCAAAAGGCTGCCAGACAGGCAATCAGCAGGACAGCGGCTGCTATCTTGGCCTTGTGACTCCTGGGCCGAGGGATGGATGGGTGCAAGCTGGAGTGGGGCATCTGTAGGTACCAAGAAATCCATGGCCATGCTCCTCTCACTCTCCTGTTGTTCCAGGATGGAGGCCCTGGCTGGGCAGCTTCCCCCAGCTCTCTCCTCCCCACCCCTCGCCCCACCCCCGTGCCCAGCCATACCCAGGGGCTGCTTTTGGAGACACCTCTGGGGGACAGGCTGGGCATACAGCATCCCAGAGTTCCAGTCCAGGAGGGATTTATTGAAAACAGAACAGGTGGAAAAGTGCATGGATTTATACATACACATCCCATCCAACCCCAGGGAGACTGCGGGGCAGAGAAGAAAGAAGGCAGCAACTCTCCCAGACCCAGACCTATGAGGTGCCACCCACCTCGGGACCCTTGAGGATCCGGGCTTTCCTCTCCCCGGGAAGGATATTAGCCAGAAAGGATCCCCAGGGGCCTCAGCCTTGGAGCTTTGGCTGGGCTGCTCCTGATCCTACCTTCTACCTCCAGACACAGGTTGTTTCTGGGAGACACAGGAAGAGAAGGCTCAGCGCAACAGCTCCCAGTGACTAGGAGCAGCCTCTCCGGTCAGCCTGAAAATGGAAAGTTAAAAGCAATTTGAAGCTTTCTCTACAACACTCCAGCCCTGACATCTCAGACTATAGCTCAAAGTTACAGTGGAGAGGAGGGTATTTCCCGCCCCGGGGAGGAGGGAAGAGCCCTCCCCGAAAGGCCCTAATGAGTCACACCCAGTCCTGGCATGTGTGTGGTTCAGGAAGCTTGTGAAGGCTCCCATTCCTGCAGTTTGCTACCCCAAAGTCAAGGGTGTTCAGAAATTCTCTCACACTCCCCTGAACCACAACCTGAACACCAGATTCCCCTTAAGCCCCCACAATTAAACAAACTCTACCAATACTTACACGGGACTCCACACACCCGGCCTGAGACAGCACACACTGACTACACCATGCTCCCTGCCAGATCGCTTATATTCTGATTTCTGGATGAGATCCTCTTTTTCTGAAGACGGTGATATGGAGGAGGGAGGGGGGGGGGCGGAAACGAACAGTTGTTTCCTGTAATAACAGCCTTTCAGAGTAAAGGGCTTGGTAGGAGCAGAAAGCCAGCAGGGGAGTGTAGGGTTTGGGCTCTTCACAGGAAGTGGCACGCCTGAGACTTCTCAGAAAGAATATGGTGGTTCCAGCCAAAAAAAAGGCAGCCTCATAGATAATAATAATATATTATGGCAAGTGTTATGTATATTTACTAGAATTCACTTAATCCAGTCAGCCACCCTGTCAGATAGGTATAATACCATTCCCATTTTATAGATGGGTAATCTGAGGCTTAGTGAGGTGAATTAACGTTTCCCAGGCCCCACAGACAGTAAATGAGGGGGTTGGGGGGACTGGAAGTCAGGTGGGTTGCTCCAAAAGGCTCCTTGCTCTGTGCCTTGATTTCCTGGGAAAAGCGGAAAGTGCCAGGATCCTGTTTCATGCTTACATGGAGTAGGGATGTCTCTGGCCACTTCCTGGCAACCTGATGAGCTGAGTTGACTTGAGGATGGGCAGGTGGTCCGGAGAGTGGGATTGGGGTGCCACCCACGGAGCAGCAGCAATTCATTTCTGCCCAGGTCAGAAGGTCCTTGCCTTGACCCTCCCCCACATCACAACCAGACTCATGAGGACACAACACATTCATAGATGCCTGTGGCCTCCCAGGAGCAACGAAACTTCCTGAAAACTCTCTTGGTTTTGAAAAGAGAGTTTCATCATTTCCTAAGAATGGAGGTAATTCCCTACATAGTCTCTCCCCTAAAATTGGCTCACAAAGGGGCCCACTAACATGGACAAGGTGTCAGCTGTTTCAAAACCAAAGGAAGTCGACCTTGCCCAAGAGCAGGCCTGAGCAGAGTCCTGCAGGCGTGCGCCCCGAGGCCCAGCTGTGTCAAGCAGCCTCAGGCCTCCAGGATCCTGCTCTGCTGCTGTCTAGCACCAACTCCCCTGGGTGGCACCACTGCTGCCAACTCTGCTGCTCCACACTGGTCGTCATTTCCTCTGAAACCTGCTTTTTCTTCAAAACCTGTTCTTTCCTTTCTCCTAGAGCAGTGGTTCTCAACCTCCCTAATGCTGCGACCCTTTAATACAGTTCCTCATGGTGTGGTGACCCCCAACCATAAAATTATTTTCGCTGCTACTTCATAACTGTAATTTTGCTACTGTTATGAATCGTAATGTAAATATCTGATATGCAGGATGTATTTTCATTGTTACAAATTGAACATAATTAAAGCATAGTGATTAATCACAAAAATAATATGTAATTATATATGTGTTTTCCGATGGTCTTAGGCGACCCCTGTGAAAGGGTTGTTCGACCCCCAAAGGGGTCGCGACCCACAGGTTGAGAACCGCTGTCCTAGAGGAAGTTCCTTTATTTTATAGGCCAGGTTGTCACTATGCTTCGGAAGGAGCAGTGAGGGGAGGTGGGGAAGATATTGGTGTAGAACATTGTGGAAGAGCAGCACATATAAAGGCCCTGAGGTTGTGAGAAGGAGCTTGGCCTGTGGAGGAACAGAGAAATGGGTGGTATGGCTGCGGCATGTAAGCATGTTGGGGGCCCGTATGATTTTCATAGGGCTACTGTAACAAAGTACCATAAATGTGGTGGCTTTAAGCAATAGAAATTTATTCTCTCATAGTTCTGGAGGCCAGAAGTCTGAAATCCAGGTGTTGGCAGGGGCATGCTTCCTCGGAAGCCTCTATGTGAGGCTCTCTCCTTGCCTCTTCCAGCTTCTGGTAGCCCCAGGCGTTCCTTGGTTTGCAGACACAGTACTTCAGTCTCTGCCTCCACCACAGGATGTTCTCCAACTCTGTCTTCACGTGGTGTTTCTTCTTATCAGCATATCAGTCATATTGGATTAGGGCCTACCTTAATGACTTCATCTCAACCCGATTACATCTGCAAGGACACTATTTCCAAATAAGGTCACATTCAAAGGTGCTGGGTGTTAGGATGTCAACATATCTTTTTAAGGGACACAATTCAACCCATGACAGGTTCCGTGGTGTAAGAAGGGGTCCCGAGGGTGGGTCAGAGCCCCACTCTGTGACCAGTGCCTCAGATCCTGGAGAGCATCAAGACAGTTGCATGCATGGGATTGTCCTCAACACGCAGACAGACCAGCTCTTCCAGGCAGCTGAGGAGGAAGCTAAGGGCCACAGAGGGAAGTTAGGTCCAAGTCCCATACTGCCCTGCTCACATGCTGCTGAGTAGCACTGCATGGTAGTTGGTTCTTCCCTCCAGACACCTGGAAGTGCTGGTCTGGGTCAACTCTCATTTCTGTATCTGGCCCAATCACAGCTTCCATCCTCATCCTCAGGGTGCCTTGGGGAGAGGACTAAACCTCTAAGCACTTGTTCAGCAGATGCTGGGCCTGGGACAGATTGTGTGTGAGGTAGGGAGGCCTGTGGCCTCCAAGGAGCCACCCTTTTGCCTACACAACCTCTTTCATGTTTAAAGGTTCCTGAAATTAATGTGCAAAGGTCCCTGAAATCTGCTAGGACAAGGGACATTGGGGGAATTTTAATATCATTGACCATGGTTCACCTAAGATCCAATATGGCCTCTGTCTCTTCTAGCATGGTTTACCTACGATCCAATTGGACCTTAGCCCAGTTATTTAGCTTCTTTGAGCCTCAGTTTCCCCATACCTCAAATAGGGATGGTAATAACTTTTATCTCAGAAGATTGTCATGAGGATGGAAAGAAATAATGTCACTGTAGACCTGACTTCTTGTAAATGCTCAGTAACTGCTAACGCTAATCACCACCACCACACCCATCATCATCATCACCTTTAACAATCACTCCTGGATTTGCTAGCCCCTGTCACTTTGACCTCTACCATGGGCTTCAGTCACCTTTGCAGCAGACTCAGATATTTGATGTCTCATCCATCAGTGGCTCTGAGTCTGACCCTAGCCACCTCCTTGTGATAATTTCATTGCACCATCATGGAGTCAACTAGTGTGTCCTGGTCTTTCCTGGACAGGATGATAACTTAGTAGATGTGATAGAGAAAAGGGTCTTCATGATGCACGGCTGGGGGTGAAGAAGCACATCTGGCTTAGCTACTATATCTTCAGGGAGTAAATAATAAACCCACCTACTCCTGGAAAGAGATATTCAGCAGGGTGGAGAGATCTACAGTTGTTTTTTGTTTGTTTTGGGTAATAGCTTTATTGAGATATAAATCACATACCATACAACTCACTTATTTAAAATGCACAATTAATTGGTTTTTAGTAAATTTACACAGTTGTGCACTATCACCACTATCAACTTTAGAACATTTTCATTACCCCCAAAAGAAACCCTGTAGCCATCACATCTCAACCACCCTTACTCACCCCACCCCCAAGCAACCACCAATCTACTTTCTTTTTCTATAGATATGCCTATTCTGGACATTCATATAAATGGAATCATACACTATGTGATGTGTCTGTCTTCTTATCATATTACTAGGGGCCCAGTCCACAAATTCGTGCACCTTGAAAGGAACTGTGGCCTGTGAGGCTGTGGTGGGCCTCACAGGGGTGGTTCTTGGCCCATCCTCCACACCCCCGCCCGACCCCTCCCGCTGCAGCCCCCGGTCCCCTCTCTGGTGGCAGCCCTGCTTCCGCTGCCACCACTCCTATGCGCTGACAGCCCCGGCCCTGCTCACACCTGCTGATGGTGTGGGGTGATTGGGGCCAGTGCCAGCAGCAGTGCGAGCGCTGGGTGGGACTGTGGTGTGTGGGAGCAAAGAATTCTCAGTAGCCCTAACCGGTTTGGCTCAGTGGATAGAGTGTCGGACTGCAGACTCAAGGGTCCCAGGTTCGATTCCGGTCAAGGGCATGTACCTTGGTTGCGGGCACATTCCCAGTAGGGAGTGTGCAGGAGGCAGCTGATTGATGTTTCTCTCTCATCGATGTTTCTAACTCTCTATCCCTCTTCGTTCCTCTCTGTAAAAAATCAATAAAATATATTTAAAAAAAAAAAGAATTCTCAGTAACCACCAGAGGCTCACCCCGATGACAGCACCCAGCGCCCCTACTTATCTTCTCCACCATCTCGCCACGCCAACGCCTGCCATGTTCCATGCATGCCCCCTGGTGGTCAGCGCACATCATAGCAACCGGTTGTTCTGTTGTTCTGCTGCTTGGTCTATTTGCATATTAGCCTTTTATTATATAGAATTATGACAAAATGACAGTACGTGGTGAGCAACCTCAAAAATAATAATGTAGCACTAGATTTACTGACAAATAAAGACATTTATAGTATACTAGAGGCCCAGTGCATGAAATTTATGCACTGGTAGGGTCCCTAGCAGCTGCCCACTGGATACTCCCTCCCTTCCCCCAGCTGGCCCGCCCCCTGGTCAAACTCCCAAATGAACTCTGGGTTGAGAGAACATTTGCATACTACGCTTTTATTATATAGGACTAGAGGCCCGG